TCGCTCTCGTTCGCGCCGGTGAGCTCAACGTGGTTACGCCGCCGAGCCAACCGGTCTCGCAGCGTCTAGCGCTGCCGCCGGCTATCCTCCGCCGCGGATAGCGACCCTGTCGCGTCCTCGACGACAAGACGCACCTACCCGCCCCGACGACCCCAAGCGCCGAGGCGAATCCAGCCCTCCATCTCGGTGCCAACGGTCCAGATTAGATATGTTGACCGGTCAACCCTAGGACAACAGGCAACCTCAGCCGTCACGTGGCTGCCACATGGACGCCACGCAGTCGCCACGTCATCGACCTGTCAGCGGCGACCGAGCCAGACCCGGTCAGCATTGGCACGTTTGCAAACGAGCCCCTGTACTTTCTGAAAATCAAGACGCAGTCTATCACAGTTCAATTGGGACCCGAATTTTTGGAGTTTGGCCCCCGAAGTCTATGGTTTTTATACCCGAGGTCCAAACCTTTTAAAATGCGGTTTTTAATAATTATTTAAAATACGAAAATAGTTCCAACCAACCCAGTTTTGCCACTGGACCTAGTTTTAGCCATAACTTGTGCGTTCTAGCTCCATTTAAGCCCGTTCTTGTTGCGTTGCGACCGTGTCAACGTGAGCTTCGTGTTAGTAGCGACGTTTACCATGTCCTATGCTTTTGAATTTCAACATAAATGTTAATTTGATTAATGTTTATTCAATGCTCTTTTAAATTAAAAGTAACCTAGGTTTATACACCGGTCTTTCACAAATAAATGATAATATCAACATTAATGCCTTTTCAAGTATAACCTGAATAGTTCAACCTCGAATCATAAATGCTCTCGTTTAGCTTTTATCCCAAGCCTTTTATCTTTCAAGTTGAATGTTTAAATGGCTTAAATAATATATAATCATTTATAATTAAAATATGACTAAGGTTATACCTCGTCTTTCCAAATCCAAGTTTAACTTGAATTAATTCAACTTTAGGATATTTCGCTGAAATGTCCATCACCTTATTTCATTAACTAAAATGAACCAAGCATATAGTCAGTTCTTTCAGTTGTGTTGCAAGCCTCGATAGTCACGTCCTCTTCAACGATAACTCCGTTCTTAGTCGTCCTTGCACTCTCATGACCATAACAACGAAAGATGATTCTTACAGATTTCTCAATTCCATTGTAATCCAGTTTCCTAACTTTGGTTCTTTTTGTTATGCTATCCAGCTTACCTTTGATCAGACTCGAAAAATCTTGTCTTTGAGGGGAATAAGCATCATGGTAATTGTTGTTTCTATCTCCACAAAAATTTAGACATCAATCTAAGCTAAATTTGAAATGCAAACTTTCAGGGTTTCAATTGGAAGAAACTTCAGCGCACATTGAAAAATGTAGATCAAAATCATCCACTTGCTACGACTGCCAATCAATTGAAGGCAAGTTTTTTTCCATGGAACTTGTCTTCTTTGATATGCATATTGTGTTTTGCTAACATTATTTTTTTGTTTTATTTTCTCTACAGGATATTATTAGTTCTTCTGAGAAAACAACATCGAGAGAACTGTTTGCTGCACTTGATAAAGCCTGTGAGAAAACCTCTTTCTCCAATGACATACGTCATTGCAAGCATGATGAAATCTTTGAGGGTAGTAAACCCACAACAAGCAATGATGTTGCATGCATTAGTTATGTGATAGAGAGGAAATTGGTAGGTCATTTAATAGTGCGAAAAGAAGTTCTTCCTTTAGATACTTGCTTCTACTTCATTTGCTTGACCTTGAATAATATACAATAGAGGTTTTCGAATGGTTTCATTCTAAGGCAGGCGACACAAGTGATCTTCATGCGAAGCTCTTGAGCGATAAAAAATCTGAGCAAAGGTTATAACTTTGACACGTTTTATGTTTTGACTAACATGCTGACAATGGCATCCTGCAAATATGTAGTGATGATTCAAACAAGAGGCCATGGCGCTGCTTCTCGAGAACCTTAGCGGTTTTATTTCATTAACAATTGAGCTGAAACTTATATTTACATGTTGTAATATATAGTGATACCACTGGCTGAAGAGAAGCTTTTGGAGAAAAAAGTTAACTAGTACTTCGACAAGTTTACTTTGTCAATAACTAACCAAAATCAAACCTACATTTACAAGGTGTATTTGTAATTGTTTAAGACTGTTTTGCACTTCTTTTCCTACTTACCTTGAGCATTCAAGAAAATCACCTATATTTAGATGTTATAATATGTAGGGATACTGATATATAAAGACTGGATAGTGAAGCTAGAGGTCATGATGGTAGGGGTTGAACAAGCCAAATGTTGTGGACGCTTTTGTCGGCAAAACATACACACACAAAAAGCCCGAGTCCACAAGTGGCTAGCTGGCGCCTAGATAGGTGCCAATTTGTTAAATCTTTCCTAGTTTGTTGCATGCAGGAAAGATGGGAGTGATTGTAGGGAGTGGTTAGCCTCTGTCTATTTACCGTAACCCGTCTAGGTTTAGGGGTCAAGCAAGAAGTTAATTATTATAATTAGAGCCTCCTAGGGAGGGTGATCAAGTTCACAACCTTGCCATTGTTCTAAGTCTAGCCAGATTCATCCAACATTCCAACCATAACATCTTTGGTATTAGCCTAGTGATCCTGCGACCTGATCATGGGCGATTCCAACACCCTAGCCGACCTCAAGGACGCCATGGACACCATCCTCATCGATCTTTTCACCATCAAGAATGATATGACGACCATGAAGGGGCGACTAGAGTCGCCTCTCTATGGCTGTCAATCGGCTGCAATTCGAGAAGCTCAAATTTGGTGGCTCTCACAGCGGCAAAGACACGGAGAAGTTTGCGTTTGAGCCACCGCTTCCACCCTAACATCAACAAAAGCGTCCACAACACTACCCCCTCCTAGAGAAATAAATTGTCCTCGAGCTAGAACTTTGGATGCACCTCTTTGAAGGTGTTCAATGCCTCCTAGGTTGCTTCAGCAGCTAATTGGCCCACCCACTGCAATAGAAGCTCCCAGCCACCATGGTTGAGGCAAGTGCGGGCGATGGATTCCGATGTTGGCACCACACGACCTCACGATAAGGGTGGAAGAGGCACTAGCGTCGTAGGCGGTGTCCCTACAAATGGCTTGAGGAAGACCACATGGAAGACGTCATGAATCTTCGCCTTGTGGTGCAGCTAAAGACGATATACCATCGGCCCAACCCGCTCAATGACCTGATGTCATGACCCAAGGCCATTCCAAATAAAACTTTTCAAACTCACATTGAATACCCTAAGACTCACCAACATGTCCTTGAATTTCGGCTCAAGCTCCTGAAGAACCTTATCCTAAGTTGTTTGATGACCTTGCACAACCCCTCTGTGCTAAAGAACAAGTCTTATCCCTTTCCCCAAAGGATCAATCTCGCTCTCTATTAGGGCAAGGACTCCAAATTTGCTAATCAACCCTATTGGTTTCCCCTAATCGACCTAAGTCAACTAGGGTCAACCCTAGTCAACTCCTTAGATAATCCGACAAGGACTCTCCAAGATCATCACTCCAAAAGTGTTCTCTAACTCTCCAATGACCTATATCAACTCTCTGACTGTGGATAAAGGTCATTAGATCAAACCCTTGTCTCTAAACCAAGTTTCCCAAATTTCAGTTATCTATCGGATCGTCCGGTGGTCTTGCGAACCGTCCTCCCGATCATTTATTCAGCAGAATCAGTTTGGATGAGCTGTTCTTCTCTCCCTCATCTTAGACCCACATGTCAGCACGAGTTGGAGCTCAAGGCCAGCAGAACCAGCTTGCCTCCACTCATCACTCACTCATTCTCTACTCTCCCTGTCCCTCTCCTCAAGTGAAGAACAAGGATGAACTAGAGAGAGAAAGGAAGAGAGAAGAGAATGAAGAGAAAGAAAAGAAAAGGAAGAAGAAGATCAAGACCAGCCCATGCATCATCATCTCAAGATGAAGGTGGAGATCTTCATCCCCATCTCCATTCTTGGGTGAGCTCAAGAAATCCCCATTTCTTTTTCTTGGAATCATCTCTTAAAACCTAACTCTGGATTTCTTCGTGCATGGATGCAAGATGAAGATTTCTAGTTGCTCCATCATCTCAAGTGTGATCCCAATGTCATCTCTTGCTCTATCATCTCATGCATCTCTCCAATTTCTCTCTAATGGAATTTCTATGATTTTTGCAAGAAAATCATGAGAAGGCCAATTTTTAAGCAAACTCATTTCAAAAATATTTGCATCAAAAACTATTTCCTAAATTAAACTAGATGAACATGATGACTATGATGGATAATGGATAATAATTGAATATTCGTTGTAGAGAGAGCTCATGGAATGTGATGATGAATTAGGGTGGATCCAGCTCTTTCTACATACGACTATGAATATATAAGGACTAACCCCTCCCACTCATTATGTGTGATGTATGAACTCGTATCGACCATGAACTCATTTGGGACGGGGCAAGTCTAGCACCCATGAAGTTGTTATATGCTCCCTATGGTAAGTGAGGAGATCTTTGGTGGTGAATCCCATTTAGGTGTCGATCAAGTACACCTAGACGTATATATTAGTGCACGTGGAAAGATGTGGATGTATATAATATACGAAAATTTGGAAACTCCGGTATCTTAACCATGAGTCGCACCAAAGGAAGTGTGATGGAAAATTGGTCATTGTAATCATGGATAAACTGATACAAACGTATATGCGTGAATTCATGTCATGTCTCTTGGAATGGAGGCCACGGGAGCCTATAATATGGGTGGTAGTAGATTTGTTAAGCTATTTTCTAGATATACAACTTAATACATTTTGAAGATATACAATAGTGCCACACAAAAGAGAAAAAACTTTGAATATGCATGGAAAAACTTACGGAATAATTACTAGTAGCCTAATTTCAGAGAGAGATTACAGAGTATGTATATGGATTTGAATTGTCCATCATAATGAGCATCCTCTAGTAGAATGCAATGCTCGGATCACCGGATGGCAAATACTTGGTACCATCAAGTCCTTAAGGCGATGAACGTGCTGTAAGACCTGATTTTCCTGGCTAAAGATGCGTGATAATCTGGCAAAGACAAGGACATCATTGGACAACCATGAACGCATGAAGTACTTTTTGAGGACAATGGTAGCGGCGGTCGCCTTTTGTTTTCAATCCAGTCCACGAATGAGGCCTGCAGCTGGGCAGGCGCATGCAGAATCCAAGAGCTCAAGAACTCACTTGTCTCACTTGTCCATGGGCGCTGCACCTTCTTGAACCGACTTTGTTTCTGATTTTTTCCACCTCTGTCTCTCCGACCTGAAGGTATGGGCGGCCATGGGGTCTTGTCTGCCTGAAGGTATGCGCTTCCATGCTTGGAATTCCACAGCATCTGATATGAGGTAGCTGCAACATTTCCGCCAAGGCAATCTTCCGCCTTTGGTAGCATGATCTCACCCAGCTGCTCAAAAGAAATGTTTGCGTACAAGCCGCATGGCGCTACCTCTCTGTTTATCATCTCTGTTGCTGAACCTCCAACTGCAGGCAACATATCTTCAGAAGAGGCATGAGGCCACAAGTGCCCCCCGAGTTTTAGAAATGAAGATCCTCTCATGGGGCACGTTTCTCCATTGACGTATTGCACTCATGTCTGTTGTCCCCAGCCTAACAGTCTGCGATTTTGGCTGACAAATGAACTTGAGTAACTGGTTCTAAGTATACATCACATGGCAATGGCTCGATGATTTGAGCTTGTCCTGCTACCATCGTAGCGAAGGTCTTTTTGCTGACAACAAAGCGGGTTGGGTCGAAACCACTTATAACGGATGGTGTGAAGATCTTCCCAGTGTTCTTCACTCCCAAAAACAGAATAAGCTGCATCTGGCATCCAGCAAAAGTCCTGCGTTGGTAACTGGGTGAGCTTTGTCTTCACGGTCTCGGCTATTGAGCTCATGTGAGGTGTAAATAGCTCCAGGCATCTGATTACAACCCCAACTATGTTGGTGCTCTCGGAAAGCCGTAAACTGAGGGAAAGAAAGAAATTATTCTCTCGCGGCGTTGCCATCTTCAAGTAAGAATATTAGCATTCCTCCATCCCATGCTCGGGTAGACTAAACGGCTGTAGAAGGAACGAGAGATGCTGAGCCCCATGAACAGAGCAATGCCTTGTTCCTTTCCCAGAGAGAAGGTGCCTTATAATAGGGTCGAAGAACATGTATTGGCGTGGTGTGCCACCGAGCTCCACATATCTTAGGAACTCGCTCGCACCGTCTGCAAACCGCTCGAATCTCCGGACGGCAGATCCTGTCAGCTCGTTGTCGCCGCCACCGCGACTCAAGAGCGATGACAAGAACGACTTGGTAGTGTGAGCAATTCGCTTGGGAAAGGCGGAGCTGCTTACCCTGTGTTGTCTGTCCTCCTCTTCTTCCAAGCGCTGCTTGCACCTGCGCAGGGTGTGGTCGCACTCCTGCACGGCGCGCTTGAGCTTGCTCTGCCAGCGCAGCAATGGCAGGCTGGTGATGTTCCACTTGTTGGATGTCTCGAGGGCGGCCTCCAGCTTGATGTGAGCCATCACCATCCTTTCCATGTGCTCCTTTCCGTCTGACTTGTTCCCGTACCTCTCCTTCAAATTTGATAAGGCTTGGCTAACCGCCTCCTGGGCCACTGCAGAGCTGAGCATCTGTGCTGCCATTAGGATTGATCAAAGCAACTTGCAGAATCGATTTCCCTGCATGCTCCATTGGAAAGAAAGCAAAGTACTCATCAATACATATGAGAGTCAGAATGTCCCCGTTCGTCAGTTTTGCAAGTGCAGAGGAAATCAGAACCTGGTGAGGTGGAATTGAACAAGTTGTATGGTCGCTAGCTCTTCTTGATATGATGTAACAACATGTAGTCCTCCTGATTATAAGAGAAAAAAAGGCTGCAGGGTTCTGAGCAACATCAACGAGAGTCTGTGAATCTATCCTGCCCAGCCGGCCAGTTGTACGACCATACATGGAGAGAGAGGTACTTCATTTGAGAGCGAACATCGTGGAAATTTGTCAAGAGCGGATATGCACAGCACAGTTGACAGCTGAACACACGGAAACTTTGAGTGGAGGGCAAAGCCCTGAGGTCGACGTATGTATCACGTCACGGAGACCGTTAGTATATAGACACGCCATAGGACCTAACAGAGTCAGGTCGACGGTTGACGACTAAGGTTGGAAATTTTGACTGGAAAGCTCGGAGCAAAAGCAGAACCCGAAGCTGACGGCGAGCCCGCAGCTGTGGCCTTGTGGGCCCCGCCGGTCAGTGCCGCATGGTGGAGAGGGAGAGGACGGGAAAAGGAAAATGATTTCCGGCCTGGGAGTGCGCGGGTGGAGAGGGAGAAAGCGGGAAAATGATTTTTGGCCTGGGAGTGCGCGTGACATGGCGCGCCGATGGCCTTGCGAACGTGAGCACGGTGGGATCCGGGTGTCAGCCCGTGTAGGAGGAAAGAGTTGGTGTGCGTTGACTCTTCACTGAGACTTCACGACAACAGGAAAAGGTGCACGGTAAAAAATGAAGAGATAGCAAACGTTCCAGCTTCCTGTGCTAGCTTATCCGCACTGAACATTCAAACGCCATCCTCCGCCATTCCAAATTCAATCGAGCCACACCAAAAATCCCAAAAGACTCCAAATCACACATGTGTCTAATTACTATACGACGTGCACCAAACTAACTTAAGAAAAATATTTTCCAGTGAAAAAGGAGAGGTTTATATGGGCTATATTTTAATACCAAAATATTCCCAAATAATAATAAGCACAAGTAGCTCTAGGTTTAAATTAAAAAACGGTTTTACGACGAAGTCGCGTTCATTACGATTCGAAAACTGTTCATTACAGATGGGTAATTAGTTCAATGACGAAGTTCTGGTCCTTACAGTTCTAAAGCAGATCGTCACAGAAGAGCAGGAACAATTGCGCATGTGATCTGTGACAAAACCCTGCGTCGTTCATTGACGAATTTTTGAGACGATATCTGATTTCTTCATAAAGAGGCAGGACCAGTGGACCGTCACCAATGATCCATGACGAAACAAAAAAAATCGTCGTAGAAATCAATCTTCATTAAGATTTTCGTCATAGATGTGCATATTTCTACAAGTGAATGGTACTGCTTTTGGACTATAAACTTCGTATATGATTAGGTTAATTATTGATCAAAGGTAACAAAGTTTTAACTTTGAAATACGTGAATGCCTTATATTTGATGAAGAGGGAGGGAGTGATACTCTAGTACATTTATGCTCCACAAGACTAAATTATAGTGTATTAGACATTAGTATTGTCCTAAAATATGGTGTGCACACTTTAGTATACAGCTACACCAAGAACGTTGTATTTATTTAGAGGGCTTTCTTTGTGGTACTCCCAAATAGCTATGAGTAATTCATGTAATTGGGTTGGATGGTTAGGATCATCTATTAATTTCTAAGAGGTAATAGGCTTATGTTTATTTATTTAATTTGAAATTTTAAAAATAGGATACATAAGGAAAGTTTTAGATATAAAAATCTTTTTTCTAGATCTAATTATGCATGCATGACTTATTGGAAGTGGTAAATCTTTTTATTTCGCTTTGGACATGACATAATTTGATTAGCCATAACTATCATGATCTATTTTTTATGCATGTAACATGATAGGTTTATATGCATGCATGACATCTGAGTGATATTTGTATTGTACATAACATATCGTTCATAGAGTTGGTAAAGAATAAGAACTACTTTTGACTCGACAATAAGGCTTTAAAAATTAGCTACAACATAAATGCCATGTATAATATATTTGTCATAGAAACAACATATTCGAATAAGCAACGAAGGGCGCAGTGGTGACGGAAAACAACACATTTGACAACTAATGAAGGGTCATATGCATGGTCACGGAAAAGAAAAGGTGTGGTGGTGCACGTGAACAAGGAAGGGGCTACACGCCCACTTCTATCTCCTATGACGAGGGGATTTGGGAATATTTCTTTTTTTCCTTTCTCTAGGTAGAATTATTTAATTAATTAATAAAATCAATTTCTAGATTTGTTTGATGTATTACCTACTAGTAAAATCAGCTAGGCTTCTGTTAGTAACGCGACCATTTTTTTTCTCAGACTTATCCAAAGGACGTATCGTTTCCCCTTCGCGATCGATGTTCTGGACGAGGAATAAAGCTAGCCGAACCCAACGTCAGGGCATTCGATCTTGCTGAGAACATTCCTGAGTTGAAGGTCTCACAGTTTCTATTTCTGTCCATATCAAGCGGTCTTGTCCCTTTAGGCACACCTAGTTTGTGCCTAGACTGTGTCCCAGAGCTCTCAGACCAGTTTGCAATGTCCTGCTGCAGAAACGAACCAAGCACGCCAACTCAAGGACGTGGGCGCAGAGGTCGACTTCTATACTACTCCCTCAGCGCTGGTTTCTAAGACGTAACGGCCTCCACTCCATACACCAAGGCGAGATTAACTATAGGGCCAAGTTTCGAAACCACAACAAGCATTGTTGTTCGTTAGATGTCACTGAGTGTGAAGTCTCCGGTGGATCCAGTGGTGTCGGATACCAGAAAAAGGGGTACCTTAAGCGAGAACCGAAAAAACTGCTTAGACCTTGCAAATATCAAAGCCAAAGGACAACCACGAGGTCTCGGCCTATTCTCCGATTCGCCCGAGGCCCGTGCCGCAAAAGCCTCGGACGAAAAACCAACTCTCCGCCTCACCGAGGCCCTGCCCCGCAAGGCCTCGGACGGGTTACCGATTCTCCGATTCGTCCGAGGCCCCGCGCATAAGGCCTCGGATGAAGTACCGATTCTCCGACTCGCTCAAGGCCGGGTCGGCAACAACCTCATCGCCTCCGTCTTGATCAACTTCTCTGACAAAACGTCACATCCAATTAACGCGTCCAACCACTCCCGCAACGTTAGCCGCACAACGGCGCAGTACAGCGAAGTGGCTGATGGGACGGGAGACAGGACTGGGCAGGGGTTATCGGCCACTGTGCTTAGGCACTATGCCCATAACTGACGCCCATACTGCACTGTACTACCTAACTCCTGCTCCAGGAACAACACGGCGTGGGGAGTCAGGTCCGGGTCACTATAGTCTCGGAATAGTGCCACACAAAAGAGAAAAAACTTTGAATATGCATGGAAAAACTTACGGAATAATTACTAGTAGCCTAATTTCAAAGAGAGATTACAGAGTATGTATATGGATTTGAATTGTCCATCATAATGAGCATCCTCTAGTAGAACGCAATGCTCGGATCACCGGATGGCAAATACTTGGTACCATCAAGTCCTTAAGGCGATGAACGTGCTGTAAGACCTGATTTTCCTGGCTAAAGATGCGTGATAATCTGGCAAAGACAAGGACATCATTGGACAACCATGAACGCATGAAGTACTTTTTGAGGACAATGGTAGCGGCGGTCGCCTTTTGTTTTCAATCCAGTCCACGAATGAGGCCTGCGGTGGGCGGCGCATGCGTAATCCAAGAGCTCAAGAACTCACTTGTCTCACTTGTCCATGGGCGCTGCACCTTCTTGAACCGACTTTGTTTCTGATTTTTCCACCTCTGTCTCTCCGACTGAAGGTATGGGCGGCCATGGGGTCTTGTCACTTTGAAGGTATGCGCTTCCATGCTTGGAATTCCACAAGATTCGATATGAGGTAGCTGCAACATTTCCGCCAAGGCAATCTTCCGCCTTTGGTAGCATGATCTCACCCAGCTGCTCAAAAGAAATGTTTGCGTACAAGCCGCATGGCGCTACCTCTCTGTTTATCATCTCTGTTGCTGAACCTCCAACTGCAGGCAACATATCTTCAGAAGAGGCATGAGGCCACAAGTGCCCCCCGAGTTTTAGAAATGAAGATCCTCTCATGGGGCACGTTTCTCCATTGACGATCGTGCACTCTGTCGGTTGTCCCCGACTAACAAAGGCGACTTGGCCCAGCAAATGAACTTGAGTAACTGGTTCTAAGTATACATCACATGGCAATGGCTCTGATGACGAGCTTGTCCTGCTACCATCGTAGCGAAGGTCTTTTTGCTGACAACAAAGCGGGTTGGGTCGAAACCACTTATAACGGATGGTGTGAAGATCTTCCCAGTGTTCTTCACTCCCAAAAACAGAATAAGCTGCATCGGCATCCAGAAAAGTCCTGCGTTGGTAACTGGGTGAGCTTTGTCTTCACGGTCTCGGCTATTGAGCTCATGTGAGGTGTAAATAGCTCCAGGCATCTGATTACAACCCCAACTATGTTGGTGCTCTCGGAAAGCCGTAAACTGAGGGAAAGAAAGAAATTATTCTCTGGCGCGTTGCCATCTTCAAGTAAGAATATTAGCATTCCCTCCATCCCATGCTCGGGTAGACTAAACGGCTGTAGAAGGAACGAGAGATGCTGAGCCCCATGAACAGAGCAATGCCTTGTTCCTTTCCCAGAGAGAAGGTGCCTTATAATAGGGTCGAAGAACATGTATTGGCGTGGTGTGCCACCGAGCTCCACATATCTTAGGAACTCGCCGCACTTAAATCGCAAAACCTTTCGAATCTCCGGACGGCAGATCCTGTCAGCTCGTTGTCGCCGCCACCGCGACTCAAGAGCGATGACAAGAACGACTTGGTAGTGTGAGCAATTCGCTTGGGAAAGGCGGAGCTGCTTACCCTGTGTTGTCTGTCCTCCTCTTCTTCCAAGCGCTGCTTGCACCTGCGCAGGGTGTGGTCGCACTCCTGCACGGCGCGCTTGAGCTTGCTCTGCCAGCGCAGCAATGGCAGGCTGGTGATGTTCCACTTGTTGGATGTCTCGAGGGCGGCCTCCAGCTTGATGTGAGCCATCACCATCCTTTCCATGTGCTCCTTTCCGTCTGACTTGTTCCCGTACCTCTCCTTCAAATTTGATAAGGCTTGGCTAACCGCCTCCTGGGCCACTGCAGAGCTGAGCATCTGTGCTGCCATTAGGATTGATCAAAGCAACTTGCAGAATCGATTTCCCTGCATGCTCCATTGGAAAGAAAGCAAAGTACTCATCAATACATATGAGAGTCAGAATGTCCCCGTTCGTCAGTTTTGCAAGTGCAGAGGAAATCAGAACCTGGTGAGGTGGAATTGAACAAGTTGTATGGTCGCTAGCTCTTCTTGATATGATGTAACAACATGTAGTCCTCCTGATTATAAGAGAAAAAAAGGCTGCAGGGTTCTGAGCAACATCAACGAGAGTCTGTGAATCTATCCTGCCCAGCCGGCCAGTTGTACGACCATACATGGAGAGAGAGAGGTACTTCATTTGAGAGCGAACATCGTGGAAATTTGTCAAGAGCGGATATGCACAGCACAGTTGACAGCTGAACACACGGAAACTTTGAGTGGAGGGCAAAGCCCTGAGGTCGACGTATGTATCACGTCACGGAGACCGTTAGTATATAGACACGCCATAGGACCTAACAGAGTCAGGTCGACGGTTGACGACTAAGGTTGGAAATTTTGACTGGAAAGCTCGGAGCAAAAGCAGAACCCGAAGCTGACGGCGAGCCCGCAGCTGTGGCCTTGTGGGCCCCGCCGGTCAGTGCCGCATGGTGGAGAGGGAGAGGACGGGAAAAGGAAAATGATTTCCGGCCTGGGAGTGCGCGGGTGGAGAGGGAGAAAGCGGGAAAATGATTTTTGGCCTGGGAGTGCGCGTGACATGGCGCGCCGATGGCCTTGCGAACGTGAGCACGGTGGGATCCGGGTGTCAGCCCGTGTAGGAGGAAAGAGTTGGTGTGCGTTGACTCTTCACTGAGACTTCACGACAACAGGAAAAGGTGCACGGTAAAAAATGAAGAGATAGCAAACGTTCCAGCTTCCTGTGCTAGCTTATCCGCACTGAACATTCAAACGCCATCCTCCGCCATTCCAAATTCAATCGAGCCACACCAAAAATCCCAAAAGACTCCAAATCACACATGTGTCTAATTACTATATGACGTGCACCAAACTAACTTAAGAAAAATATTTTCCAGTGAAAAAGGAGAGGTTTATATGGGCTATATTTTAATACCAAAAATATTCCCAAATAATAATAAGCACAAGTAGCTCTAGGTTTAAATTAAAAAACGGTTTTACGACGAAGTCGCGTTCATTACGATTCGAAAACTGTTCATTACAGATGGGTAATTAGTTCAATGACGAAGTTCTGGTCCTTACAGTTCTAAAGCAGATCGTCACAGAAGAGCAGGAACAATTGCGCATGTGATCTCTGTGACAAAACCCCCGCGTCGTTCATTGGACGAATTTTTGAGACGATATCTGATTTCTTCATAAAGAGGCAGGACCAAAGTGGACCGTCACCAATGATCCATGATGAAACAAAAAAATCGTCAGAGAAATCAATCTTCATTAAGATTTTCGTCATAGATGTGCATATTTCTACAAGTGAATGGTACTGCTTTTGGACTATAAACTTCGTATATGATTAGGTTAATTATTGATCAAAGGTAACAAAGTTTTAACTTTGAAATACGTGAATGCCTTATATTTGATGAAGAGGGAGGGAGTGATACTCTAGTACATTTATGCTCCACAAGACTAAATTATAGTGTATTAGACATTAGTATTGTCCTAAAATATGGTGTGCACACTTTAGTATACAGCTACACCAAGAACGTTGTATTTATTTAGAGGGCTTTGCTGTGGTACTCCCAAATAGCTATGAGTAATTCATGTAATTGGGTTGGATGGTTAGGATCATCTATTAATTTCTAAGAGGTAATAGGCTTATGTTTATTTATTTAATTTGAAATTTAAAAAATAGGATACATAAGGAAAGTTTTAGATATAAAAATCTTTTTTCTAGATCTAATTATGCATGCATGACTTATTGGAAGTGGTAAATCTTTTTATTTCGCTTTGGACATGACATAATTTGATTAGCCATAACTATCATGATCTATTTTTTATGCATGTAACATGATAGGTTTATATGCATGCATGACATCTGAGTGATATTTGTATTGTACATAACATATCGTTCATAGAGTTGGTAAAGAATAAGAACTACTTTTGACTCGACAATAAGGCTTTAAAAATTAGCTACAACATAAATGCCATGTATAATATATTTGTCATAGAAACAACATATTCGAATAAGCAACGAAGGGCGCAGTGGTGACGGAAAACAACACATTTGACAACTAATGAAGGGTCATATGCATGGTCACGGAAAAGAAAAGGTGTGGTGGTGCACGTGAACAAGGAAGGGGCTACACGCCCACTTCTATCTCCTATGACGAGGGGATTTGGGAATATTTCTTTTTTTCCTTTCTCTAGGTAGAATTATTTAATTAATTAATAAAATCAATTTCTAGATTTGTTTGATGTATAGTAAAATCAGCTAGGCTTCTGTTAGTAACGCGACCATTTTTTTTTCTCAGACTTATCCAAAGGACGTATCGTTTCCCCTTCGCGATCGATGTCCTGGACGAGGAATAAAGCTAGCCGAACCCAACGTCAGGGGCATTCGATCTTGCTGAGAACATTCCTGAGTTGAAGGTCTCACAGTTTCTATTTCTGTCCATATCAAGCGGTCTTGTCCCTTTAGGCACACCTAGTTTGTGCCTAGACTGTGTCCCAGAGCTCTCAGACCAGTTTGCAATGTCCTGCTGCAGAAACGAACCAAGCACGCCAACTCAAGGACGTGGGCGCAGAGGTCGACTTCTATACTACTCCCTCAGCGCTGGTTTCTAAGACGTAACGGCCTCCACTCCATACACCAAGGCGAGATTAACTATAGGGCCAAGTTTCGAAACCACAACAAGCATTGTTGTTCGTTAGATGTCACTGTGAAGTCTCCGGTGGATCCAGTGGTGTCGGATACCAGAAAAAGGGTACCTTAAGCGAGAACCGAAAAAACTGCTTAGACCTTGCAAATATCAAAGCCAAAGGACAACCACGGGGTCTCGGCCGATTCTCCGATTCGCCCGAGGCCCGTGCATAAAAAGCCTCGGACGAAAAACCAACTCTCCGCCTCACCGAGGCCCTGCCCCGCAAGGCCTCGGACGGGTTACCGATTCTCCGATTCGTCCGAGGCCCCGCAAGATAAGGCCTCGGATGAAGTACCGATTCTCCGACTCGCTCAAGGCGGGTCGGCAACAACCTCATCGCCTCCGTCTTGATCAACTTCTCTCGACAAAACGTCACATCCAATTAACGCGTCCAACCACTCCTAGAACGTTAGCCGCTGACAACGGCAAAGAAGACAAATAAGTGGGCTGATGGGGGACGGAGACAGGATGGGCAGGGGTTATCGGCCATCGTGCTTAGGCACTATGCCCATAATCGACGCCCATATCTTGCCTTTGTACTACCTAACTCCTGCTCCAGAACAACACGGCGTGGGGAGTCAGGTCCGGGTCACTATAGTCTCGGAATAGTGCCACACAAAAGAGAAAAAACTTTGAATATGCATGGAAAAACTTACGGAATAATTACTAGTAGCCTAATTTCAAAGAGAGATTACAGAGTATGTATATGGATTTGAATTGTCCATCATAATGAGCATCCTCTAGTAGAACGCAATGCTCGGATCACCGGATGGCAAATACTTGGTACCATCAAGTCCTTAAGGCGATGAACGTCTTTGTAAGACCTGATTTTCCTGGCTAAAGATGCGTGATAATCTGGCAAAGACAAGGACATCATTGGACAACCATGAACGCATGAAGTACTTTTTGAGGACAATGGTAGCGGCGGTCGCCTTTTGTTTTCAATCCAGTCCATTTAATGAGGCCTGCAGCTGGGCAAGGCGATGCAGAATCCAAGAGCTCAAGAACTCACTTGTCTCACTTGTCCATGGGCGCTGCACCTTCTTGAACCGACTTTGTTTCTGATTTTTTCCACCTCTGTCTCTCCGACCTGAAGGTATGGGCGGCCATGGGGTCTTGTCTGCCTGAAGGTATGCGCTTCCATGCTTGGAATTCCACAGCATCTGATATGAGGTAGCTGCAACATTTCCGCCAAGGCAATCTTCCGCCTTTGGTAGCATGATCTCACCCAGCTGCTCAAAAGAAATGTTTGCGTACAAGCCGCATGGCGCTACCTCTCTGTTTATCATCTCTGTTGCTGAACCTCCAACTGCAGGCAACATATCTTCAGAAGAGGCATGAGGCCACAAGTGCCCCCCGAGTTTTAGAAATGAAGATCCTCTCATGGGGCACGTTTCTCCATTGACGACTGCACTCTGTCTGTTGTCCCCAGCTAACAGTGCGACTTGGCCCAGCAAATGAACTTGAGTAACTGGTTCTAAGTATACATCACATGGCAATGGCTCTGATGACGAGCTTGTCCTGCTACCATCGTAGCGAAGGTCTTTTTGCTGACAACAAAGCGGGTTGGGTCGAAACCACTTATAACGGATGGTGTGAAGATCTTCCCAGTGTTCTTCACTCCCAAAAACAGAATAAGCTGCATCTGGCATCCAGCAAAAGTCCTGCGTTGGTAACTGGGTGAGCTTTGTCTTCACGGTCTCGGCTATTGAGCTCATGTGAGGTGTAAATAGCTCCAGGCATCTGATTACAACCCCAACTATGTTGGTGCTCTCGGAAAGCCGTAAACTGAGGGAAAGAAAGAAATTATTCTCTGGCGCGTTGCCATCTTCAAGTAAGAATATTAGCATTCCCTCCATCCCATGCTCGGGTAGACTAAACGGCTGTAGAAGGAACGAGAGATGCTGAGCCCCATGAACAGAGCAATGCCTTGTTCCTTTCCCAGAGAGAAGGTGCCTTATAATAGGGTCGAAGAACATGTATTGGCGTGGTGTGCCACCGAGCTCCACATATCTTAGGAACTCGCTCGCACCGTCTGCAAACCGCTCGAATCTCCGGACGGCAGATCCTGTCAGCTCGTTGTCGCCGCCACCGCGACTCAAGAGCGATGACAAGAACGACTTGGTAGTGTGAGCAATTCGCTTGGGAAAGGCGGAGCTGCTTACCCTGTGTTGTCTGTCCTCCTCTTCTTCCAAGCGCTGCTTGCACCTGCGCAGGGTGTGGTCGCACTCCTGCACGGCGCGCTTGAGCTTGCTCTGCCAGCGCAGCAATGGCAGGCTGGTGATGTTCCACTTGTTGGATGTCTCGAGGGCGGCCTCCAGCTTGATGTGAGCCATCACCATCCTTTCCATGTGCTCCTTTCCGTCTGACTTGTTCCCGTACCTCTCCTTCAAATTTGATAAGGCTTGGCTAACCGCCTCCTGGGCCACTGCAGAGCTGAGCATCTGTGCTGCCATTAGGATTGATCAAAGCAACTTGCAGAATCGATTTCCCTGCATGCTCCATTGGAAAGAAAGCAAAGTACTCATCAATACATATGAGAGTCAGAATGTCCCCCGTTCGTCAGTTTTGCAAGTGCAGAGGAAATCAGAACCTGGTGAGGTGGAATTGAACAAGTTGTATGGTCGCTAGCTCTTCTTGATATGATGTAACAACATGTAGTCCTCCTGATTATAAGAGAAAAAAAGGCTGCAGGGTTCTGAGCAACATCAACGAGAGTCTGTGAATCTATCCTGCCCAGCCGGCCAGTTGTACGACCATACATGGAGAGAGAGAGGTACTTCATTTGAGAGCGAACATCGTGGAAATTTGTCAAGAGCGGATATGCACAGCACAGTTGACAGCTGAACACACGGAAACTTTGAGTGGAGGGCAAAGCCCTGAGGTCGACGTATGTATCACGTCACGGAGACCGTTAGTATATAGACACGCCATAGGACCTAACAGAGTCAGGTCGACGGTTGACGACTAAGGTTGGAAATTTTGACTGGAAAGCTCGGAGCAAAAGCAGAACCTGAAGCTGACGGCGAGCCCGCAGCTGTGGCCTTGTGGGGCCCCGCCGGTCAGTGCCGCATGGTGGAGAGGAGAGGACGGGAAAAGGAAAATGATTTCCGGCCTGGGAGTGCGCGGGTGGAGAGGGAGAAAGCGGGAAAATGATTTTTGGCCTGGGAGTGCGCGTGACATGGCGCGCCGATGGCCTTGCGAACGTGAGCACGGTGGGATCCGGGTGTCAGCCCGTGTAGGAGGAAAGAGTTGGTGTGCGTTGACTCTTCACTGAGACTTCACGACAACAGGAAAAGGTGCACGGTAAAAATGAAGAGATAGCAAACGTTCCAGCTTCCTGTGCTAGCTTATCCGCACTGAACATTCAAACGCCATCCTCCGCCATTCCAAATTCAATCGAGCCACACCAAAAATCCCAAAAGACTCCAAATCACACATGTGTCTAATTACTATACGACGTGCACCAAACTAACTTAAGAAAAATATTTTCCAGTGAAAAAGGAGAGGTTTATATGGGCTATATTTTAATACCAAAAATATTCCCAAATAATAATAAGCACAAGTAGCTCTAGGTTTAAATTAAAAAACGGTTTTACGACGAAGTCGCGTTCATTACGATTCGAAAACTGTTCATTACAGATGGGTAATTAGTTCAATGACGAAGTTCTGGTCCTTACAGTTCTAAAGCAGATCGTCACAGAAGAGCAGGAACAATTGCGCATGTGATCTGTGACAAAACCCTGCGTCGTTCATTGACGAATTTTTGAGACGATATCTGATTTCTTCATAAAGAGGCAGGACCAGTGGACCGTCACCAATGATCCATGACGAAACAAAAAAAATCGTCGTAGAAATCAATCTTCATTAAGATTTTCGTCATAGATGTGCATATTTCTACAAGTGAATGGTACTGCTTTTGGACTATAAACTTCGTATATGATTAGGTTAATTATTGATCAAAGGTAACAAAGTTTTAACTTTGAAATACGTGAATGCCTTATATTTGATGAAGAGGGAGGGAGTGATACTCTAGTACATTTATGCTCCACAAGACTAAATTATAGTGTATTAGACATTAGTATTGTCCTAAAATATGGTGTGCACACTTTAGTATACAGCTACACCAAGAACGTTGTATTTATTTAGAGGGCTTTGCTGTGGTACTCCCAAATAGCTATGAGTAATTCATGTAATTGGGTTGGATGGTTAGGATCATCTATTAATTTCTAAGAGGTAATAGGCTTATGTTTATTTATTTAATTTGAAATTTTAAAAATAGGATACATAAGGAAAGTTTTAGATATAAAATCTTTTTCTAGATCTAATTATGCATGCATGACTTATTGGAAGTGGTAAATCTTTTTATTTCGCTTTGGACATGACATAATTTGATTAGCCATAACTATCATGATCTATTTTTTATGCATGTAACATGATAGGTTTATATGCATGCATGACATCTGAGTGATATTTGTATTGTACATAACATATCGTTCATAGAGTTGGTAAAGAATAAGAACTACTTTTGACTCGACAATAAGGCTTTAAAAATTAGCTACAACATAAATGCCATGTATAATATATTTGTCATAGAAACAACATATTCGAATAAGCAACGAAGGGCGCAGTGGTGACGGAAAACAACACATTTGACAACTAATGAAGGGTCATATGCATGGTCACGGAAAAGAAAAGGTGTGGTGGTGCACGTGAACAAGGAAGGGGCTACACGCCCACTTCTATCTCCTATGACGAGGGATTTGGGAATATTTCTTTTTTCCTTTCTCTAGGTAGAATTATTTAATTAATTAATAAAATCAATTTCTAGATTTGTTTGATGTATTACCTACTAGTAAAATCAGCTAGGCTTCTGTTAGTAACGCGACCATTTTTTTTCTCAGACTTATCCAAAGGACGTATCGTTTCCCTTCGCGATCGATGTTCTGGACGAGGAATAAAGCTAGCCGAACCCAACGTCAGGGCATTCGATCTTGCTGAGAACATTCCTGAGTTGAAGGTCTCACAGTTTCTATTTCTGTCCATATCAAGCGGTCTTGTCCCTTTAGGCACACCTAGTTTGTGCCTAGACTGTGTCCCAGAGCTCTCAGACCAGTTTGCAATGTCCTGCTGCAGAAACGAACCAAGCACGCCAACTCAAGGACGTGGGCGCAGAGGTCGACTTCTATACTACTCCCTCAGCGCTGGTTTCTAAGACGTAACGGCCTCCACTCCATACACCAAGGCGAGATTAACTATAGGGCCAAGTTTCGAAACCACAACAAGCATTGTTGTTCGTTAGATGTCACTGAGTGTGAAGTCTCCGGTGGATCCAGTGGTGTCGGATACCAGAAAAAAGGGTACCTTAAGCGAGAACCGAAAAAACTGCTTAGACCTTGCAAATATCAAAGCCAAAGGACAACCACGAGGTCTCGGCCTATTCTCGATTCGCCCGAGGGCCGTGTGCATAAAAAGCCTCGGACGAAAAACCAACTCTCCGCCTCACCGAGGCCCTGCGCCCGCAAGGCCTCTGGACGGGTTACCGATTCTCCGATTCGTCCGAGGCCCAGCGCGATAAGGCCTCGGATGAAGTACCGATCTCCGACTCGCTCAAGGCGGGTCGGCAACAACCTCATCGCCTCCGTCTTGATCAACTTCTCGACAAAACGTCACATCCAATTAACGCGTCCAACCACTCCCATAACGTTAGCCGCGACTGTGGCGCGAAGACAATGAAAGTGGCTGATGGGACGGGAGACAGGATCGGGCAGGGGTTATTTCGGCCATCGTGCTTAGGCACTATGCCCATAATCGACGCCCATATCGCATCAGTACTACCTAACTCCTCGCTCCGGGAACAACACGGCGTGGGGAGTCAGGTCCGGTCACTATAGTCTCGGAATAGTGCCACACAAAGAGAAAAAACTTTGAATATGCATGGAAAAACTTACGGAATAATTACTAGTAGCCTAATTTCAAAGAGAGATTACAGAGTATGTATATGGATTTGAATTGTCCATCATAATGAGCATCCTCTAGTAGAACGCAATGCTCGGATCACCGGATGGCAAATACTTGGTACCATCAAGTCCTTAAGGCGATGAACGTGCTGTAAGACCTGATTTTCCTGGCTAAAGATGCGTGATAATCTGGCAAAGACAAGGACATCATTGGACAACCATGAACGCATGAAGTACTTTTTGAGGACAATGGTAGCGGCGGTCGCCTTTTGTTTTCAATCCAGTCCACGAATGAGGCCTGCACTGGGCAAAGCGCATGCAGAATCCAAGAGCTCAAGAACTCACTTGTCTCACTTGTCCATGGGCGCTGCACCTTCTTGAACCGACTTTGTTTCTGATTTTTTCCACCTCTGTCTCTCCGACCTGAAGGTATGGGCGGCCATGGGGTCTTGTCTGCCTGAAGGTATGCGCTTCCATGCTTGGAATTCCACAGCATCTGATATGAGGTAGCTGCAACATTTCCGCCAAGGCAATCTTCCGCCTTTGGTAGCATGATCTCACCCAGCTGCTCAAAAGAAATGTTTGCGTACAAGCCGCATGGCGCTACCTCTCTGTTTATCATCTCATTGCTTGAACCTCCAACTGCAGGCAACATATCTTCGAGAAGAGGCATGAGGCCACAAGTGCCCCCGAGTTTTAGAAATGAAGATCCTCTCATGGGGCACGTTTCTCCATTGACGATCGCACTCTGTCTGTTGTCCCCGACTAACAGTGCGACTTGGCCCAACAAATGAACTTGAGTAATCTGGTTCTAAGTATACATCACATGGCAATGGCTCTGATGACGAGCTTGTCCTGCTACCATCGAGCGAAGGTCTTTTTGCTGACAACAAAGCGGGTTGGGTCGAAACCACTTATAACGGATGGTGTGAAGATCTTCCCAGTGTTCTTCACTCCCAAAAACAGAATAAGCTGCATCTGGCATCCAGCAAAAGTCCTGCGTTGGTAACTGGGTGAGCTTTGTCTTCACGGTCTCGGCTATTGAGCTCATGTGAGGTGTAAATAGCTCCAGGCATCTGATTACAACCCCAACTATGTTGGTGCTCTCGGAAAGCCGTAAACTGAGGGAAAGAAAGAAATTATTCTCTGGCGCGTTGCCATCTTCAAGTAAGAATATTAGCATTCCCTCCATCCCATGCTCGGGTAGACTAAACGGCTGTAGAAGGAACGAGAGATGCTGAGCCCCATGAACAGAGCAATGCCTTGTTCCTTTCCCAGAGAGAAGGTGCCTTATAATAGGGTCGAAGAACATGTATTGGCGTGGTGTGCCACCGAGCTCCACATATCTTAGGGAACTCGCTCGCACCGCCTCGCAAACCGCGCCGAATCTCCGGACGGCAGATCCTGTCAGCTCGTTGTCGCCGCCACCGCGACTCAAGAGCGATGACAAGAACGACTTGGTAGTGTGAGCAATTCGCTTGGGAAAGGCGGAGCTGCTTACCCTGTGTTGTCTGTCCTCCTCTTCTTCCAAGCGCTGCTTGCACCTGCGCAGGTGTGGTCGCACTCCTGCACGGCGCGCTTGAGCTTGCTCTGCCAGCGCAGCAATGGCAGGCTGGTGATGTTCCACTTGTTGGATGTCTCGAGGGCGGCCTCCAGCTTGATGTGAGCCATCACCATCCTTTCCATGTGCTCCTTTCCGTCTGACTTGTTCCCGTACCTCTCCTTCAAATTTGATAAGGCTTGGCTAACCGCCTCCTGGGCCACTGCAGAGCTGAGCATCTGTGCTGCCATTAGGATTGATCAAAGCAACTTGCAGAATCGATTTCCCTGCATGCTCCATTGGAAAGAAAGCAAAGTACTCATCAATACATATGAGAGTCAGAATGTCCCCGTTCGTCAGTTTTGCAAGTGCAGAGGAAATCAGAACCTGGTGAGGTGGAATTGAACAAGTTGTATGGTCGCTAGCTCTTCTTGATATGATGTAACAACATGTAGTCCTCCTGATTATAAGAGAAAAAAAAAGGCTGCAGGGTTCTGAGCAACATCAACGAGAGTCTGTGAATCTATCCTGCCCAGCCGGCCAGTTGTACGACCATACATGGAGAGAGAGGTACTTCATTTGAGAGCGAACATCGTGGAAATTTGTCAAGAGCGGATATGCACAGCACAGTTGACAGCTGAACACACGGAAACTTTGAGTGGAGGGCAAAGCCCTGAGGTCGACGTATGTATCACGTCACGGAGACCGTTAGTATATAGACACGCCATAGGACCTAACAGAGTCAGGTCGACGGTTGACGACTAAGGTTGGAAATTTTGACTGGAAAGCTCGGAGCAAAAGCAGAACCCGAAGCTGACGGCGAGCCCGCAGCTGTGGCCTTGTGGGCCCCGCCGGTCAGTGCCGCATGGTGGAGAGGGAGAGGACGGGAAAAGGAAAATGATTTCCGGCCTGGGAGTGCGGGTGGAGAGGAGAAAGGGAAAATGATTTTTGGCCTGGGAGTGCGCGTGACATGGCGCGCCGATGGCCTTGCGAACGTGAGCACGGTGGGATCCGGGTGTCAGCCCGTGTAGGAGGAAAGAGTTGGTGTGCGTTGACTCTTCACTGAGACTTCACGACAACAGGAAAAGGTGCACGGTAAAAAATGAAGAGATAGCAAACGTTCCAGCTTCCTGTGCTAGCTTATCCGCACTGAACATTCAAACGCCATCCTCCGCCATTCCAAATTCAATCGAGCCACACCAAAAATCCCAAAAGACTCCAAATCACACATGTGTCTAATTACTATACGACGTGCACCAAACTAACTTAAGAAAAATATTTTCCAGTGAAAAAGGAGAGGTTTATATGGGCTATATTTTAATACCAAAAATATTCCCAAATAATAATAAGCACAAGTAGCTCTAGGTTTAAATTAAAAAACGGTTTTACGACGAAGTCGCGTTCATTACGATTCGAAAACTGTTCATTACAGATGGGTAATTAGTTCAATGACGAAGTTCTGGTCCTTACAGTTCTAAAGCAGATCGTCACAGAAGAGCAGGAACAATTGCGCATGTGATCTGTGACAAAACCCTGCGTCGTTCATTGACGAATTTTTGAGACGATATCTGATTTCTTCATAAAGAGGCAGGACCAGTGGACCGTCACCAATGATCCATGACGAAACAAAAAAAATCGTCGTAGAAATCAATCTTCATTAAGATTTTCGTCATAGATGTGCATATTTCTACAAGTGAATGGTACTGCTTTTGGACTATAAACTTCGTATATGATTAGGTTAATTATTGATCAAAGGTAACAAAGTTTTAACTTTGAAATACGTGAATGCCTTATATTTGATGAAGAGGGAGGGAGTGATACTCTAGTACATTTATGCTCCACAAGACTAAATTATAGTGTATTAGACATTAGTATTGTCCTAAAATATGGTGTGCACACTTTAGTATACAGCTACACCAAGAACGTTGTATTTATTTAGAGGGCTTTGCTGTGGTACTCCCAAATAGCTATGAGTAATTCATGTAATTGGGTTGGATGGTTAGGATCATCTATTAATTTCTAAGAGGTAATAGGCTTATGTTTATTTATTTAATTTGAAATTTTAAAAAATAGGATACATAAGGAAAGTTTTAGATATAAAAATCTTTTTTCTAGATCTAATTATGCATGCATGACTTATTGGAAGTGGTAAATCTTTTTATTTCGCTTTGGACATGACATAATTTGATTAGCCATAACTATCATGATCTATTTTTTATGCATGTAACATGATAGGTTTATATGCATGCATGACATCTGAGTGATATTTGTATTGTACATAACATATCGTTCATAGAGTTGGTAAAGAATAAGAACTACTTTTGACTCGACAATAAGGCTTTAAAAATTAGCTACAACATAAATGCCATGTATAATATATTTGTCATAGAAACAACATATTCGAATAAGCAACGAAGGGCGCAGTGGTGACGGAAAACAACACATTTGACAACTAATGAAGGGTCATATGCATGGTCACGGAAAAGAAAAGGTGTGGTGGTGCACGTGAACAAGGAAGGGGCTACACGCCCACTTCTATCTCCTATGACGAGGGGATTTGGGAATATTTCTTTTTTTCCTTTCTCTAGGTAGAATTATTTAATTAATTAATAAAATCAATTTCTAGATTTGTTTGATGTATTACCTACTAGTAAAATCAGCTAGGCTTCTGTTAGTAACGCGACCATTTTTTTTCTCAGACTTATCCAAAGGACGTATCGTTTCCCCTTCGCGATCGATGTTCTGGACGAGGAATAAAGCTAGCCGAACCCAACGTCAGGGCATTCGATCTTGCTGAGAACATTCCTGAGTTGAAGGTCTCACAGTTTCTATTTCTGTCCATATCAAGCGGTCTTGTCCCTTTAGGCACACCTAGTTTGTGCCTAGACTGTGTCCCAGAGCTCTCAGACCAGTTTGCAATGTCCTGCTGCAGAAACGAACCAAGCACGCCAACTCAAGGACGTGGGCGCAGAGGTCGACTTCTATACTACTCCCTCAGCGCTGGTTTCTAAGACGTAACGGCCTCCACTCCATACACCAAGGCGAGATTAACTATAGGGCCAAGTTTCGAAACCACAACAAGCATTGTTGTTCGTTAGATGTCACTGAGTGTGAAGTCTCCGGTGGATCCAAAGTGGTGTCGGATACCGAGAAAAGGGGTACCTTAAGCGAGAACCGAAAAAACTGCTTAGACCTTGCAAATATCAAAGCCAAAGGACAACCACGAGGTCTCGGCCTATTCTCCGATTCGCCGAGGCCCGTGCCGCAAAAAGCCTCGGACGAAAAACCAACTCTCCGCCTCACCGAGGCCCTGCCCGCAAGGCCTCGGACGGGTTACCGATTCTCCGATTCGTCCGAGGCCCCGCGCATAAGGCCTCGGATGAAGTACCGATTCTCCGACTCGCTCAAGGCCGGGTCGGCAACAACCTCATCGCCTCCGTCTTGATCAACTTCTCTGACAAAACGTCACATCCAATTAACGCGTCCAACCACTCCCCATAACGTTAGCCTTGACAACGGCGCATCTGACACAATAAGTGGTGATGGGACGGGAGAGCAGGACTGGGCAGGGGTTATCGGCCACTGTGCTTAGGCACTATGCCCATAACTGACGCCCATACTGCACTGTACTACCTAACTCCTGCTCCAGGAACAACACGGCGTGGGGAGTCAGGTCCGGGTCACTATAGTCTCGGAATAGTGCCACACAAAAGAGAAAAAACTTTGAATATGCATGGAAAAACTTACGGAATAATTACTAGTAGCCTAATTTCAAAGAGAGATTACAGAGTATGTATATGGATTTGAATTGTCCATCATAATGAGCATCCTCTAGTAGAACGCAATGCTCGGATCACCGGATGGCAAATACTTGGTACCATCAAGTCCTTAAGGCGATGAACGTGCTGTAAGACCTGATTTTCCTGGCTAAAGATGCGTGATAATCTGGCAAAGACAAGGACATCATTGGACAACCATGAACGCATGAAGTACTTTTTGAGGACAATGGTAGCGGCGGTCGCCTTTTGTTTTCAATCCAGTCCACGAATGAGGCCTGCAGCTGGGCAGGCGCATGCAGAATCCAAGAGCTCAAGAACTCACTTGTCTCACTTGTCCATGGGCGCTGCACCTTCTTGAACCGACTTTGTTTCTGATTTTTTCCACCTCTGTCTCTCCGACCTGAAGGTATGGGCGGCCATGGGGTCTTGTCTGCCTGAAGGTATGCGCTTCCATGCTTGGAATTCCACAGCATCTGATATGAGGTAGCTGCAACATTTCCGCCAAGGCAATCTTCCGCCTTTGGTAGCATGATCTCACCCAGCTGCTCAAAAGAAATGTTTGCGTACAAGCTGCATGGCGCTACCTCTCTGTTTATCATCTCTGTTGCTGAACCTCCAACTGCAGGCAACATATCTTCAGAAGAGGCATGAGGCCACAAGTGCCCCCCGAGTTTTAGAAATGAAGATCCTCTCATGGGGCACGTTTCTCCATTGACGACTGCACTCTGTCTGTTGTCCCCAGCTAACAGTGCGACTTGGCCCAGCAAATGAACTTGAGTAACTGGTTCTAAGTATACATCACATGGCAATGGCTCTGATGACGAGCTTGTCCTGCTACCATCGTAGTGAAGGTCTTTTTGCTGACAACAAAGCGGGTTGGGTCGAAACCACTTATAACGGATGGTGTGAAGATCTTCCCAGTGTTCTTCACTCCCAAAAACAGAATAAGCTGCATCTGGCATCCAGCAAAAGTCCTGCGTTGGTAACTGGGTGAGCTTTGTCTTCACGGTCTCGGCTATTGAGCTCATGTGAGGTGTAAATAGCTCCAGGCATCTGATTACAACCCCAACTATGTTGGTGCTCTCGGAAAGCCGTAAACTGAGGGAAAGAAAGAAATTATTCTCTGGCGCGTTGCCATCTTCAAGTAAGAATATTAGCATTCCCTCCATCCCATGCTCGGGTAGACTAAACGGCTGTAGAAGGAACGAGAGATGCTGAGCCCCATGAACAGAGCAATGCCTTGTTCCTTTCCCAGAGAGAAGGTGCCTTATAATAGGGTCGAAGAACATGTATTGGCGTGGTGTGCCACCGAGCTCCACATATCTTAGGAACTCGCTCGCACCGTCTGCAAACCGCTCGAATCTCCGGACGGCAGATCCTGTCAGCTCGTTGTCGCCGCCACCGCGACTCAAGAGCGATGACAAGAACGACTTGGTAGTGTGAGCAATTCGCTTGGGAAAGGCGGAGCTGCTTACCCTGTGTTGTCTGTCCTCCTCTTCTTCCAAGCGCTGCTTGCACCTGCGCAGGGTGTGGTCGCACTCCTGCACGGCGCGCTTGAGCTTGCTTGCTCTGCCAGCGCAGCAATGGCAGGCTGGTGATGTTCCACTTGTTGGATGTCTCGAGGGCGGCCTCCAGCTTGATGTGAGCCATCACCATCCTTTCCATGTGCTCCTTTCCGTCTGACTTGTTCCCGTACCTCTCCTTCAAATTTGATAAGGCTTGGCTAACCGCCTCCTGGGCCACTGCAGAGCTGAGCATCTGTGCTGCCATTAGGATTGATCAAAGCAACTTGCAGAATCGATTTCCCTGCATGCTCCATTGGAAAGAAAGCAAAGTACTCATCAATACATATGAGAGTCAGAATGTCCCCGTTCGTCAGTTTTGCAAGTGCAGAGGAAATCAGAACCTGGTGAGGTGGAATTGAACAAGTTGTATGGTCGCTAGCTCTTCTTGATATGATGTAACAACATGTAGTCCTCCTGATTATAAGAGAAAAAGGCTGCAGGGTTCTGAGCAACATCAACGAGAGTCTGTGAATCTATCCTGCCCAGCCGGCCAGTTGTACGACCATACATGGAGAGAGAGAGGTACTTCATTTGAGAGCGAACATCGTGGAAATTTGTCAAGAGCGGATATGCACAGCACAGTTGACAGCTGAACACACGGAAACTTTGAGTGGAGGGCAAAGCCCTGAGGTCGACGTATGTATCACGTCACGGAGACCGTTAGTATATAGACACGCCATAGGACCTAACAGAGTCAGGTCGACGGTTGACGACTAAGGTTGGAAATTTTGACTGGAAAGCTCGGAGCAAAAGCAGAACCCGAAGCTGACGGCGAGCCCGCAGCTGTGGCCTTGTGGGCCCCGCCGGTCAGTGCCGCATGGTGGAGAGGGAGAGGACGGGAAAAGGAAAATGATTTCCGGCCTGGGAGTGCGCGGGTGGAGAGGGAGAAAGCGGGAAAATGATTTTTGGCCTGGGAGTGCGCGTGACATGGCGCGCCGATGGCCTTGCGAACGTGAGCACGGTGGGATCCGGGTGTCAGCCCGTGTAGGAGGAAAGAGTTGGTGTGCGTTGACTCTTCACTGAGACTTCACGACAACAGGAAAAGGTGCACGGTAAAAAATGAAGAGATAGCAAACGTTCCAGCTTCCTGTGCTAGCTTATCCGCACTGAACATTCAAACGCCATCCTCCGCCATTCCAAATTCAATCGAGCCACACCTAAAATCCCAAAAGACTCCAAATCACACATGTGTCTAATTACTATATGACGTGCACCAAACTAACTTAAGAAAAATATTTTCAAGTGAAAAAGGAGAGGTTTATATGGGCTATATTTTAATACCAAAATATTCCCAAATAATAATAAGCACAAGTAGCTCTAGGTTTAAATTAAGAAACGGTTTTACGACGAAGTCACGTTCATTACGATTCGAAAACTATTCATTACAGATGGGTAATTAGTTCAATGACGAAGTTCTGGTCCTTACAGTTCTAAAGCAGATCGTCACATAAGAGCAGGAACAATTGCGCATGTGATCTGTGACAAAACCCTACGTCGTTCATTGACGAATTTTTGAGACGATATCTGATTTCTTCATAAAGAGGCAGGACCAGTGGACCGTCACCAATGATCCATGACGAAACAAAAAAAATCGTCGTAGAAATCAATCTTCATTAAGATTTTCGTCATAGATGTGCATATTTCTACAAGTGAATGGTACTGCTTTTGGACTATAAACTTCGTATATGATTAGGTTAATTATTGATCAAAGGTAACAAAGTTTTAACTTTGAAATACGTGAATGCCTTATATTTGATGAAGAGGGAGGGAGTGATACTCTAGTACATTTATGCTCCACAAGACTAAATTATAGTGTATTAGACATTAGTATTGTCCTAAAATATGGTGTGCACACTTTAGTATACAGCTACACCAAGAACGTTGTATTTATTTAGAGGGCTTTGCTGTGGTACTCCCAAATAGCTATGAGTAATTCATGTAATTGGGTTGGATGGTTAGGATCATCTATTAATTTCTAAGAGGTAATAGGCTTATGTTTATTTATTTAATTTGAAATTTTAAAAATAGGATACATAAGGAAAGTTTTAGATATAAAAATCTTTTTCTAGATCTAATTATGCATGCATGACTTATTGGAAGTGGTAAATCTTTTATTTCGCTTTGGACATGACATAATTTGATTAGCCATAACTATCATGATCTATTTTTTATGCATGTAACATGATAGGTTTATATGCATGCATGACATCTGAGTGATATTTGTATTGTACATAACATATCGTTCATAGAGTTGGTAAAGAATAAGAACTACTTTTGACTCGACAATAAGGCTTTAAAAATTAGCTACAACATAAATGCCATGTATAATATATTTGTCATAGAAACAACATATTCGAATAAGCAACGAAGGGCGCAGTGGTGACGGAAAACAACACATTTGACAACTAATGAAGGGTCATATGCATGGTCACGGAAAAGAAAAGGTGTGGTGGTGCACGTGAACAAGGAAGGGGCTACACGCCCACTTCTATCTCCTATGACGAGGGGATTTGGGAATATTTCTTTTTTTCCTTTCTCTAGGTAGAATTATTTAATTAATTAATAAAATCAATTTCTAGATTTGTTTGATGTATTACCTACTAGTAAAATCAGCTAGGCTTCTGTTAGTAACGCGACCATTTTTTTTCTCAGACTTATCCAAAAAGGACGTATCGTTTCCCCTTCGCGATCGATGTTCTGGACGAGGAATAAAGCTAGCCGAACCCAACGTCAAGGCATTCGATCTTGCTGAGAACATTCCTGAGTTGAAGGTCTCACAGTTTCTATTTCTGTCCATATCAAGCGGTCTTGTCCCTTTAGGCACACCTAGTTTGTGCCTAGACTGTGTCCCAGAGCTCTCAGACCAGTTTGCAATGTCCTGCTGCAGAAACGAACCAAGCACGCCAACTCAAGGACGTGGGCGCAGAGGTCGACTTCTATACTACTCCCTCAGCGCTGGTTTCTAAGACGTAACGGCCTCCACTCCATACACCAAGGCGAGATTAACTATAGGGCCAAGTTTCGAAACCACAACAAGCATTGTTGTTCGTTAGATGTCACTGTGAAGTCTCCGGTGGATCCAGTGGTGTCGGATACCAGAAAAAGGGATACCTTAAGCGAGAACCGAAAAAACTGCTTAGACCTTGCAAATATCAAAGCCAAAGGACAACCACGAGGTCTCGGCCTATTCTCCGATTCGCCCGAGGCCCGTGCCGCAAAAGCCTCGGACGAAAAACCAACTCTCCGCCTCATCGAGGCCCTGCCCCGCAAGGCCTCGGACGGGTTACCGATTCTCCGATTCGCCCGAGGCCCCGCGCATAAGGCCTCGGATGAAGTACCGATTCTCCGACTCGCTCAAGGCCGGGTCGGCAACAACCTCATCGCCTCCGTCTTGATCAACTTCTCTGACAAAACGTCACATCCAATTAACGCGTCCAACCACTCCCGCAACGTTAGCCGCACAACGGCGCAGTACAGCGAAGTGGCTGATGGGACGGGAGATAGGACTGGGCAGGGGTTACCGGCCACTGTGCTCAGGCACTATGCCCATAACTGACGCCCATACTGCACTGTACTACCTAACTCCTGCTCCAGGAACAACACGGCGTGGGGAGTCAGGTCCGGGTCACTATAGTCTCGGAATCAGTGTATAGGACCAACTGCTCCCTCCAAGCCTCAGTAATCCACTTCAGGGTCTCAGCAGCCTCGGGATTCGCGCCCGCCGAGCTCCCCACGATGGCTCGGCCTCGGCACCAACTGAGCCTCGGCTCTTTACACTGTCAACACACAGCGACCGGCACGTCGTCGGCCATGCCCTGCGCCAAGCTATCACTGGAGCTCCCACGTCGCACAAGATCGGGTGTGACCGGCGCGTTGCTCTAGTGCATCAAGGACAAGACCGCTCCGTTGACCATGCCGCCATAGTAGTAAGCTATAGGGCTCAGACACGCCACCTCCGCTCATAAGATGCCGCATAGTAAACACATGTATCACCCCTGTCCCCACTTCAACTATAAAAGGAGAGACCGGGGCCATTTCTAGAGGGAGGAAGATAGACGAACTCACGCATAGGCTCACGTAGATTCAGACACACACGCTCCCCCGCTGCCTGAGAGCAACGTCTCAAGCAGCCCACACCGCTCCAAGCAGAGACCTAGGACTAGCTCCCTCTCTCGCCCAGCTTGTAACCCCCTACTACAAGCACTTCGGTGCAAGGAATACAAGATCGATCTCTCAGACTGGACGTAGGGCACCAATTGCCTGAACCAGTATAAACCTTGTGTCTCTTTGCATCACCATCCAGGATTAGAGGCACACAGTTCAAATTCACTAGTTGGTTGAGGACCCCCCGGTCCAAAACACCGACAGTTGGCACGCCAGGTAGGGGGACTACTGCGTGTTAGCTTAATTGTCCCAACAAGTTTCGGATGGCAGACCCCATACGCCCACTGCGTCTCAACACGGTGATCTAGTTTGGGAGCCTAGAGTTCATGTCTCTAGGATGTGAGTACGACCTAGTACTCCTCCCATTCAGAGCCCCTTTGGCCGACGACGGCATCGCGCACTAGCAGCCCAGGCACAGAGGGCGCCCGGGCCGCCTCTCTCGTTGCGCTCGCCAGGCACAACACGAGCGGGACCACCCCGACACCGCACGAGCTTAGGGCGACGCGCCGCGCTCCGCCGGTATCCCATGCCCGGCTATTGGTACAGAGTCCCTGGTTGGGGACCTGTCTAGCTTAAGCCTGGGTAGGGGAAAGACGCTGGTGACATGCAGCAACGCCCCGTCATCAAGTTTCACACCGCCACCTCCTGAGGAGCCAACTCGGCGGAGTAGGGCCCGGCGATGGCACCATCCCCGTACCCCTTCGGGTTGAGAAATGCCACCACCACCTTCGCTTCCGCCTACGCTTTCGCTCACACGGAGCCCTTAGGACGCAACCAACGTTTCACCCTTGACCTCTTCGCCACAACATCGGCTCACACCCACACTGACTCCTCGGAGGAGGACGAGGCGTGGGCCAGAACATTTCTCGGGCTTCGCGACCCTCAAGCTATGCAACTACTGCTTTGGCTACTCCGACTCCGATGATGAAGGCGCTTACGATCCCACTCGAGAGTGCTTCCACATCGGGCTTGGGATGCCAAGGGCGAGTAATGAGAGTGAAGGGGTAGGCAACCGCTCCCTGCTCTGCCAAGGGGCAAGCG